GTTTCAAAATGTTGGCACCACAACCAAGAAGGTTGTTTTTCAGGTTGCCACCCATTTAGCCCCTGAAGAGTGGATAGATTGGTTCATACGGGAGAAGCCTGCCCTTCAGATACTCTGGTCCAAAGCCATATGGAGCTTTAAACTCTGAACTGAACCCAAAAGCAAATTGAGAACCAATGTAGATAGAAAAAGACTGGACTGATATGGCTTCTACAACCCACTCCAGTCAACATTCTGACAGCAGCACTCTATACCAACAGTAGCTTCTGCACAGTCTTCAAGGGCAGTCCCATTTTGAGAGCACTGCCGTAATCCAATCTAAGCATTTATGCTATAGGTCTCTATTTTGTCTGTTATGCCATGCTATTTTGCATCTAAATGAAACCATAACAAGATATCAAAGAGATTAGGAGTATACCGGGGTACCTTCTACTCCTTTTCATTTAAAAATGGCAAAAATGCTAAACAGATGTTTATAGGTTAATGAATTCAGTCGGTCATTATTACAGCTCACAGACCGTTTAGAAACAGAATAAAAATAGATAAAAACACGGATATAAAATTAATTTATCTGCATAAAATCTCTCCATACATCACTTGTCCTAATATATTTAACAGACTAATAAACTGAAGTTTAATTCATACATGACGGAGGGTGCTGAAAATGCATAGTTCAGCTCACCATAGAGATAGTATCAAATTTGGACAGGGCTGCAGTGTCCCCAAAAACATGGGAGTACTAATAGATCCAACCCTTATTTTGGCCTTTAGGTGGCATCTACATGAAGTAGCATAGTTTGCCAGCTGTGGCCCCCTTCTGGATAAAAACATCATTGCCATAGTTATCCTACTTGGTGCTTTGGTATCTTTCAGAATAAAGCACTTCAGGCTGCCTTTGAAGAGTATTTGGAAACTACAGCTACTTCAGAATACTGAAAATTGTTTACCATGACTAACAGGTCTGAATATGCTTTGGTAGAGTTTTGTGATTGCCAGTGAATTTCTATTTGTTGAACATTAGATCTGGTTTTGACCTATAAAGCTGTAAACAGCTTGGGATCAGTGTATTTGAACGATTGCTTTTCCCGTATGCATCTGACTGCACATTACGAACTGCTTTTGGAGACAATGCTCCATGTCCCCTTGCCTTCAAATATCAGGCAGCTGACAACTGAAAACAGAACCTTTTTCTGGGGTAGTACCTTATTAGAACACCTTCCCCTAAAATGTTAGCAAGGCACAAACTTTACTGTTGTCTAGGCACCAAGCCAAAATGATTTATTTGGGGGATAATTCCGTTGCTTGTGTTTTAACTGATTAAATATTTTAACTTTTGTATCATGTCAGTTTTACTGTTTATTTTAAATGGCTGTAAGCTGCTTAGGAGGCTTGAAACACAAAGTTAGGATGGGAATGTTTCAAATATACAGATGTGGTGAAATTTCTCTCTCATCATGGATGGAAAACTGAAGTGAGGAAACAGTCATCTTGAATTTGTCATTACAGCCTTAATTCCTATTTTAGCACATGACTAAATAAATGTTGACACCTGCAGCATTAAGCAAAGGCTCCTGTCATCGCTAGTAGATGCCACAGCTGTAAACCATATGATACAGATGCAAAGGAAAGGAGCTGATATTATACTTTAGGACCCATTCCTAAATAATGCAAGAAACATGATCTGTTTGACTTTCTGGAGTATTTAATCTTCACCAAATAAAGGCTGACAATTATTCCCTCTATGAAACACAACGTATCTAAAGTCGCCTAATACATGCATTCTAAATAAAAGTTACTCGAGAAAATGAAGGAGGAAAAATGCACTTCACTTTCTTTATAGGAAAATTACAGAAGAGAAATGTAACGGGGTTGCTAAACAAATCCTACACTCAACACATTTTTATGCACACTATAAACCAGGGGATAACATCACCTTATTGACACTACTGGTGTTAAATTCTACTGTTAGAGAAACTAATCCAAATATGTATCACAAATCATTCTGATGTTATAAAACAAAAACTCAGATCTCCTCAGTGCAACAGTTTCAGTCTGTCACAGTTTTAAAGACAGACTATGCATACAGAACGGTTTTCAAACACACAGAAAAACCACACTGCAGTCAACAAGAAATGGCCTGTAAAATAATTCAGATTTTCAGCACTACTCACAACCACATTGTGATAGAACTTGCTTGAATTTTAACTAGCATTTTTATTAGTACACTGGCTCCCCAAGGCAATAAAAACAGGATCATTAACCTCACAATTATAGCAGTAAACTTCATATACCTAACATAAGAGTACAGCATAAATCCTTGTATTTTTGCTAGAATATATTTCACCGGTGTGTGAAGGCTTCAACTGAAAGCCTGCTGCTGCTTTTGCATAAACTTCTTTAAAACTATTACAGCCTGAACACAAACAACAGTGTTCAAAAAAGCTAAACTGCAACTGGGAGAGCATTTCTCAAGCACTGTGGTACTTTCAAGCCTAGGGGTGTTTCTCATGCATGATGGCTTAACACACAAGTGACCAATTCTTGAACTATTTGTGACATGCATGAATATTAGACAGGATGGAGCAAAGAAACTGAACATATTCGGTAATCTAAATTCACTTAACTGATCAGTGTAAGCTTTGTGTGAAATATCAAAGAACCTGGAAAAAATCTAAAATTACATCCTACAATATATATAGTAAACAAGGCTTCATCTCAGCAGGGCATACAGCAAGGGGTCACCACCACATTATTTGAAGGCCATCAGCTCTTAGTCCACTGTGCTGATAAATAATTCTACCTTGATTCTAGGCCAGTACCAAGACAGGCTGAAACTCAAAGCACAAAGACTAGAAAGGAGACACCACTGAAAACTTATTTCCTTGTAAACACACTTAGGCTTTTACATTCTATTACAGTTTAGTGGCACAGTCCCCCCCACCATGCCTAAGATCTATAGATGAATCCTTGACAAAATAGCAGAAGAAAAAGAGGAGATTGGATTTATACCCCATCCTTCACTACCCAAAGGTGTCTCAGAGCGGCTTACAAACTCCTTCCCCTTCCCCTCCCCACAACAGACACCCTGTGAGGTAGGGGGGGCTGAGAGAACTCTTGACAGAAACTGCTCTTTTTCAAGAACAGCTGTGCCAGAGTTATGGCTTGCCCAAGGTCATCCAGCCAGGTGCAAGTGGAGGAGTGTGGAATCAAACCTGGTTCTCCCAGATTAGAGTCCGCGCACTTAACCACTACACCAAACTGGCTCTCAAGAAATAATAGGAATTTTAAGTGGAATATTTTCTATAGAAACAACACCATTGTCAAAAATAGAAAAAATGTGTAAGCATATAAAGATCTGATGGCATATTTCACTTATGCCACAAAAAACAGCCAAGGGGAAGTAATAGGGACCATGACAACTTTACACAAGTTATGTCATAGTCAGCTATTATTAAGAAGTAAAAGATGCCAGAAAAAACAAATTGTGCAGTCAAACCAGTACATCCCAATTACCTCCATGGAAGTGTTAAATTCTGTTGAACTAGATGTGGACAACCAGATCCACAGCACAGGATGATGAGGGAAAACTGGGACATATTCTGCTAGCTAGGTGGCTAGCAGCAATTGAATAACATCTTGTTGAGTTTGTTCTCTGCTGCTTTGCTCACAGGTAAGCATACCCAGAGGTGCAAGCTGAAGTGCTTTTGTCCTTCAATTCTTAGCTCAAGGGCTATTGCCTAGGGACGGGCAGAAGACTGGATAGCAGAGAGAGAGGGAAGACATGCTTGGCATTCAGATGTTACCAGAGATAAAATACAGACAGGAGCAAACTGCTGTCAACAGCTTTCAAAGCTATTGTAGAAGGGCTGAAGTTGGCGACCTGCCTGAGGGGCTATCCTAAGACGACTTACACCCTTGAAGTCAATGTACTTAATAGGGTAGAACTCCTCTTAGGATGGCATGTTGAGAAGGGCAGCAGTAAAAAAAACAACCTCAGCCTCCTTTCCAAAAGTATTTCTGAATATATGTTTCTCACCTCTCCCATATAAATGAAAGGTTTCACACAGAAGTTAAAATCGAACTGTAATGGTAGGAGCAAAACATGTCAACAGCACATACCCCTCAGATGGATGAAACTGGCATCGATTCAGAGGAGCGTTATGTGAAGCCCAATAGATTTTAAACTTATTGTGCCTTACAATATAGGGGACTCTCTCCATGGCCGACCTACTGTAACTATGGGCATTTTGTTAGCTTTAAACAAGGAATACTTGGGCACAGGCACCCAACGCTTCCTAAAAGCATGATCATATTCACATCTCAAGAGTTGCTTCACATCTAACAAGAAGAATGAAAAACATATTCACGGCTTCACAATTCTTCAGCAAAGATGATCAAGGACAATCACACCTTGACATTTTAAAGCCACCAAATTCAATAATAAAGCAACCAATGGTTTTAACATGCTTTAATTTCAGTGCAGTTCTGAAAGAGCTTTAATAGATTCTACAACACCCCGGCCTTAGTCATATAAACCCTATGCAGTTTTTTACCATGAGAAGCCCACCTTCCCCTTCCTTTTAAGCAGTAAACAAAAACAATTATAAGCGTGAATTTGAAAGAGAAGGGGCACACGTCACATAAGGAACACTTATATCGCCTTGTATTTGAGTATTTTTAGCTGGTCATCATTTAAATTGCTGGTTTATTATTGGCTACCTTGTGCTTTCATTTTTTTTGAACTGATTTGGTGAGCCACCTTAAACGCTTTTTGATGGAAAGGGAGAGTATGAATATTTTAAATAAAAGAAAAATAAATGTTTACAGGATTGCAGACTAAGCTGTTTATCTATACATACATTGTACATTTCTCTAGAGGAACACACATGAAAGCATCTGAAAAGCCATCCATCATTCATAACAGTGTTTCAGCCTGCAGGCTTCATTCCTGTATACATGTATGTTTAATTTCAAGTAAATTTCAAATAAATCGCTCTTACCTGAATATCCTGCCCACCAGCCCCATGATGCCACCATAGCCAAAAGCCATTTAAATAATACTCCTTCAATATACCAGAACCGTTTACTATCCAACAATCGGAGAGGTTGCAGTACTATTAAATATAGAACGTAGGACGGAATAGCAACAAGGTTATTAGCAACCATGAAGCCAAATCTTAAGAGTGCTTTCAGAAACATATAGCCCGCCCTTTGGGCCTGTTCTAAAGTCACAGCCATTCTCTTCACACTGGGGTCTGCAGTCTTTTCCTACAGGGTAAGAAAGAGAAAAATTATTCAACACAAAGAACATGGCTGTCTTCTTACTAACAACTCACAGGCTTTAAACACCTTGCAAATGTCCAGTCAACACTGCAGAAGACTGGCCTGTTTTCACACATATGCCCTTCATACATGAATATAGTCATATAAAGTTGCTTTATACCAAGTTAGATCATAAGACCGTTCAGCTCAATATAGTCAACCCTGACTAGCAGCAGATCTCCAAAGTAGAGAGGTATCCCTCCCAGCTGCCTGAGATCCTTTAGCTGGAAATACTGGAGACTGTCATGCAAAGTATGCACTCTACCACTGAGCCACAATTGAGTCACATCCTGATCCCCAAATCCTCAATTAAGATAGTTACATCTATCTTTCCCATCTTCAGTTGAAATAGATGTCTTAACCTTTCATCCTAAACTGCCAAAAAGAATACAACCAACCTTACTTTAAAAGCAACCCCTCCAAAATACACCAAAAGTTACCAATGAGAATTACTATTTTAACTGCCTATATGGTTATGCAACTTAAAAGGAAATCTCACAAAACCCTTCACCACAAGTTTGAGTTTTTTGTTGTTTTTTCTTTACTGACAATATATAAGTGCATAGACTATAAGTTCAGTAGATCATTACTCAGTCTTGTAAACCGATAGCAGGGAAACACATTCCCTTTGGTTAGAGTACGTTGGAATGTGACCAAAGGACAGGTCTGTTTGAGGAACAGAACTCCCCTTGCTTTCCCCCCACAAAGGATTGAGTGATTTGTCAGAGGTCACACTCCAACAGCTGAGAGATATTTAACTCTTCTATAGTTCTAAAACAAGAACAAACATTTTTGCAATCAAGGGGAGGTGGCCAACATAGATTAACAGAATATCTTTAAGAACTACAGCTGCTTATCTAGACTACAAATTATGCATGAAATAATAAAACCATACTAGGTGACAGCGGGACAAAATAGAGAGAAACGGGTGGGGAGAGAAATGTATAGAAGGATTATTGTCTGGAAATAGGTTGCAAAAAAAGGGAAGGGGAGCCTAAAGAGAAAAGGGAAGAGGGATGTTAAGAGAGGAAACACCAGCGGTCTGTAGATGAGAGGGATACTGACGAATCACAAGGCTGAGTCCAGCCAACGGGGCTGCTTCACTCACCTTCTGCTGCGCAGAGGAAAGGAGGAGGCAGGGCCGGGGGAAGTGGGCCCGGCGGCGGCGGAGGCGTGCGCCCGGGTCGGCGGCTGCTGGCGAAGGAGACGGCGGCGGCAGTAGCAGCAGCGGCGGCGGCTCTGACGGGAGGGCGGCGGGCTCATGGACACGAAGGTGGCTGGCCTGGCCCCAACGTAACGGGCTCGGAGCGCTCGGCGGCTCCCTATTTCCTCTGCCGCTCCCTGCGGGGAGAAAGACGGGCCCGGAGTGACTGAGCCAGAAGCGGCATCCACGGCAGGGGAAGCACAAGCAGGACGATTCGCTCCGCTGGGTGGCTAAATCCGCCGCTGCCTCCTCGAGAGGCGGCTTTTCAGGGCCTAGCGCGCCTTCCTCTCTCCCCCCCCCTCCCCCCCCGGGAGAAGAGGCTGGACTCTAGAAGCGCCGCCACCCCGCGGCGGGGGGGTGCCCCACCCCCCTCACGG